GCTCTAGGCTTTTCACTGGCTAAGTACACTTAGAAGTAGATTGACTACTTTCCTTCCAAATTACTTAAACTGACTTTCAGTACTGTCTCCAACTTGGACACATTGTTTTAATGATCCAAAGCACTGGGAAGTAATTTAAGGACCTAAATGTAGCCTAAACTTTTCTGTGAAGGCATTTAAGGACCTAAATGTAGCCTAAACTTTTCTGTGAAGGCACTGCATGGAGTCAGGGTTCCAACTGAAGGCCACAGTCTATCACAAACCAAATGCTTTTCGATTTTAGGCTCTAATGCAAATACCATGGACCCACCTCCTGACTGAGCATTTACTAATTCTGAGCCAGTCTTATTTCATCAATGTCTTCATACCCCTATGTATGAATACACATTGAGAATGATCACATCCCACAGGGATCATTCACAACTGGCATTGTCATTGACCTCAGTGGCTATAATGCTGCACCCCCTAGTTGGAGTTCAAAGTAGGGACTTCAGTTTATGGTAAGAACTAACTCTTTTTAAAAGAGTTGTATAATCATCACTGCAATCCGTTCTAGCACATTTTCTTCTTTGTTGTATTCACTATTAGTCCCCATTTCTCTCCAGCCTTCCCTCTTGCACTCCCAATAAGCATTACTCCAATTACTATCTCAATAGATTTACCCATCTTGATTTTCATATACTGGAAAACAAACAAAATAACAAACAGAAACAAAAAAAAATCTACCAGAAAAATACCAACAACAATATCAATGCAAACTAGAGGGAAAAACCTCAATTGACGGGGGAGGGAGGGGCAGGAAATATTAAAAACTAGAACAATTATAAAATGAGTCAAAAGAGAAATCCAATGCTCGTGTTACATTTTAACCTAATTAGATTGGCCATAATTGAGTTTACAAGTCTTTGTGTGATAGCAAAGCTATGCACATTCTTCTGTTTTGGTACTATGGTTCCAAGGGATTCACCAGAAGCTTGTAGGGGCCCTGTCCCCTGGGGCCCAACTGCCATCCTTAGCATCTACAAATTGAGTATTCACAATTTAAGCTCTGATATGGTTTCCTCCTTCAGATTTGAGTTTTATTATTTTCATCCTTGGATCACACATGGACTTAATTGATACCTTACGTCAGGGATGCTCAATACATCG